CTCAAAATGAAGGGTTGATCTGTCTATCTTCTTAGTTGGTCTGTGACGGGTTTCCCTGCTCTTTTTTTGTCTGCTGCTAATTTTTCAGTTTCTGCTGCTGCTGCTGTGGCTGAATAATAAATATGTATGTGATAGCTGTCAAGAGTGTTTCTGCTGCTGTGGCTGAATATTAAATATGTATGTGATAGCTGTCAAGAGTCCAGTCACTTAAGAGACAGACTTAGGGCAAGAACCTGGCCCCGCCAGACAAACTGCTGAAACCTTGACAAGTCTACCTCCTGCAGTCAACAGAGTTACTGTGGGTGAGAAATGTTGTCAATTAAATTTCAACCTAGTTGAACTGGGGTAAAAAAAAGAAAAAGAAAAAAAGAATTAAAACATGCTAGGTATTTAGTTGAGGTGATTTGCCTTGCTCTTTTGAAGACAATCAGAGCCTCACTTTGATATAAAATGCTTTCTCCATTTAGTTTCTGTGTTTCTATTTCAAAGGTCGTCCTAATCTTCTGACTACCCTGCTGAAGAGATGCCTTTCTCAACTTCTTTATTGCCTTTTTATATTGTCTTTCCAGATGTTTATCTTTTATTCATGCAGACACTGTTTTGGAAAATGAAAATACTTTTCTTTTCCAAAAAGACTGAATTCTTTTTCTCAGTAAATGTTTCTTTTTTGCCATTGAAGACCCAGGTGGAGTGCTTTTAAAAATGGGGCCACTCTAAATGCCATGTGACCAAATGGAATCAGGCCAGGATGTAATAACTACGCCTAATGGTTTCTATGAGATCATTTGAACTCTGTTGCATCCAGCTGAAGAAGCAGCAGGGTGAGACAATCCATTTCCATGACAAGAAAATTGTCCAGTAGTTCTGTCCACTTATGTAGTTATATTTAATAGATTGAATGGAACTCTCTATTCTGTTATGACAGCCATAGAAAAACTACTTCCTGCTCAACACAGAGTAAAACAGAACTGAATAAAAAAAGTTCTGGGGACTTTTTGTGAGCTGCATGCAAATGTAGACACAACATTAGACAAAATGCATATTCATCCAGGTATCTAAAGATACCTGGATGAATATGTAGTCAGGTGTGTAAAGTTAGCAGCTCCTCATGCAGGCGCAGAGGCATTAGGAAATGAAGGAAAGAAAGGTGTCGTTTTGGCACTGCACACCAAAGTGAGCAATTTAATCGCCCGTGGAGCAGTGTGTGGGACTCGAACCTGAACTCCTCAACCACTAAGACGTGACATATTTGGTCACTGAGGGCAAACAAGGCTGATTAGCCAGCATGCTAACAGCCGGCTAACCGTATCAATAATAACCGTGTGGTGGATGAACCATTAATTCTAGATTTGGTCAAACTCTCGATGAATCTGTAACATTCCACTTCCCAACATTTCTGTTTTATTTGAACATTAAAGATGACTGTTAGCTTGCTTGCACTAGGGAAAACATTTTTTTTTGTGCTGTGTCTTAGGCTGCACTATAGGTTAAACCTCCAAACACAATTCCACAAGTATTTGTTGTTTGTTGAAATTCCAGTTATAATTAAATTTGAGTTTTACAACTAACTTTGTTTGGCTGCATTGGCTAAAGTGAGCTGAACAACAACAGCATAATCACTTACGATTTCATGAGCTGTCAGGAGTGAGCAGGGGACTAGTACTTGTCCATGTGTGACTTGATACTAAATGTTCAACCTGAGGCTTCACTACACAGAGATATTATGAATATTTAACATGTAGTACGTGTTGGAGAAGCTCCTGCTCCTGTACTGTGGTGTCCTGTGGCATGTGTGTGGGCCGTGGATCTACAGAGACACGACGAAAGAGCACAGACGCTCTGACACGTGGTTGCATATGCACGCTTACACATTCCCACACACTATATGTGAAGGCAGGAATACTCAAGGCATTACTGGGAGTTGTTGAGGGGGGGTTAAAATTTGAATTATTCCAGCCTTTAAAAGATTTCCAGGATTCTCCAGGTGCTGCGTTTGTCATCATTACAGCATCGGTTTTCAACTTTTGACTCTGACCGCCTGAGCGTCCTCCTCCAAACTCCTTATGTTAATGAGGTGACAGAACTCACCGTCCTCCTGTGGACGCTGTAACAAACATTCCCTCGGCGTTGCCTGCTGAGTCATCAGTTTATCCTGTCAAACATTTCCCCCGGCTCACGTTTGTTGCGGCTACGTTTCGTTTTCATTCTCATGCTCTGATTAATTGCAGATGAGCTGCAGCATTTCCTCACAGGAGACAGGGAAATACTCTTAGGTGTAGGAGTACACACACACACACATGCAGACAAACAAACAAACAGTGGTACAGAGTAATGAGCGAGGAGCTCTGGAGGCATAAAGGGCATTTGTGGCCTTTCAGCCCTCAGCTACAAACAACATCAAGGCTGCACAACTACACAAAACAAACAGGGATACAGTGGAGGGCAGCGTGGAGTCTGCCCATTTTTCTTTCTCTATTTATTCACCTAGAGCGGGCAGCGTGGAGCCCATGTTTCTTTCTCTATTTATTCACCTAGAGCTGCGCTTAACTTATATGTGATGCTATAATTTCTCTCCCCGTACACAGCAAGGCATTCATTAAGGGTGCGGTCTGTAATGATGCGGCTGCAGGCTGATTCACAAGTCACAGGACGGTGAGCTTCCTGCTGTACTGCCCCGAGCTTTACGTCGTGAATTCATTTAGCCTCAGCTCGTACTGGCTTAAAGCACCAGTCCCAGTCTATGGCAGATTAATTATTTAATGGTCCTGCATGTGCTACAGTTGTCCTCAAATAGCTCTGAGTATTGGTATAAATTTGGGTCACATTTGTATTCTGCTGTTTGATATTGCGGCGCTGCAGGCTCGACGATTCCGAGCAGTTTTATTGGAAAGTAAAGACACAGTCGTACCGACTCGGGGTGGAGACAGGAAAAATAGCTTATTTTTCTTTTTTTTTTCTTTTTTTTCTTTCTTTTTTTCTTCCAAGTCTTTGTTGTGTACTTTTCTGGGGCATACCAGTGTGATTTCTATTCATGCTCAGACTGTAATTTATCCACTTTTTCTGCTAGGTGTCTCCAGAGTCGAGCCTGACTCTCCTTCACGTGAAATAAATCATTGACATTTAAAAGTTTAACAGTTTTGTTTTTTGTAGTTTTATTTCTTCTTTCTTTGTTTTTCTCTCTCTTTTTTCATATTTCTTTCATTATTCTTCCTTTTCTTCTTTGTTTCTTTCTTCTGTCTTTCCTTTTTTTCGTTTGGACTATCTTTTCATGTTTTGTTCATCTTTCAATCTTTCTTTCTTTTTTGTCGTTCCTTCCTCCTTCTGTCCTCTCTCTCCCCCTCTTCAGTGAACTATGTTGGCCTCGTTTTTAAAAGTAGATCATGCAGAAATTCCGGGGCAACACGCAGCGTGTAGTTCCCTTGTTGTCCCTCAAGGGGCCAATAACACACATGAGGCTGACGAGCTGCGGCCCTGTGCCAGGAGCAGGTTACTTTAATTCAGCACTTTCCAGCCACAGTCTGAAAACTTTTGAACTGCATTTGCCTAAATTAATACTTCATCATACATTTAATGACACAAGGAAGTTTAAATTAAGACCCTGAGGTTTGGCCGAGACCTCCAGTTCCAGACTCCAGGTGGCTAACATTTATTTTTAATAATTTGCTGTTTATTTTGTAACATTCTGCATTTAAGAGAGAGGACAGGAATGATTCTGAGTAGTTTCCTTCTGTCGTTATTTTATATGACATCCCTAAAACCAACTGACAATAACTTAGAAACTATTGGACCATAATGTAGGTTGGCACTTTAAATATCATTTCACGGCGCAGCAGGCTTTGCTGATACTGCAAAGTGAGCTATTTAAACACCAAACACTGAGTCACTTGTTTTGATCATTACTGTCTGAACTACCTGTATAAAGTCTGTGTGTGTGTGTGTATAATACCATTTCATTTATAATAAGTGAGAAAAAAAGGACAGTGGAAAAGATTAATGTGAGGTTTATCTTTAAACAGTCTCTTCCAGCTCTACAGGAATGTCCTCGTTTTGCTTTGTTACACAGAAAAACTATATATGGTCAAAGGATTTATATATATATATATATTATTATTATTATTATTATTATTATTGTTGTACTTTTCTAAATTCGTCACCATTTCATTTCCCTCTTTTTGCCACAGGGGTAAAGGCCGTCTTCTCAGGCCACTACCACAGAAACGCTGGTGGTTTCCATGATGGTCTAGACATGGTGGTGAGCTCAGCCATTGGCTGCCAGCTGGGCGATGACACCCATGGCGTCAGGGTGGTGGTGGTGACCGCCGACAGCATCGTTCATCGCTACCACAGCCTGGAGCAGCTCAGAACACAAGGAATAGACCCAGACCTCAGGAAGCTGCTGCAGGAGTGAGGCCTGGTGACTGAAGCAGAAGTGAAAGGTTTTGTTTCTCTTTGAAATGGATTTACAGGTACAGTGGCGTGAGTTAGTCTTGAGCCAACTGTGTTTTAACCGTGAACAAGCCTAAAATATATTTGATATGCAGCCATAGTCTTCAGGTTAAGTTCTAGTCTTTAAAGAAGTACCAAGCTGATATTGGACCAGATTGTTACCATGGGTACCAGGCCCTTAGGGAAACATGTGTAGCCTGTGTACCAGTGTAATTTAACTAAGGGTAACAATTTCTTTTTTTTAAATAATTATATTATGTTGTATTTTTTTAGTCAGATTGACAAGCTGAAGAAACTAATCAATAGAAGAAAATCTAACAAAATCAAATGAAGCATAAATGATGGTGTTTTTCAATGCTACTACACCATATGATGATATATGGTGATGTAAAATTTATATTTAATCAGTCAAGATAAAACCTACCAGGATGTGTTCACTGACAAAAATCCCAAAGAAATGATCTAAGGATTATCATCTGGTCTTCCACCAAGGACCCCTGGTTAGTCCAACTATGCAAGTGAATGAAACCAACACATTCTCTGTTGTTATCTAGGTGTTCATTATTTTTTAAATGTGTTCACTCATTACAGAGATGTAGCGTCAACTTCTTACCTCTGAGCGCTTCCGTCACTGATTATTCTTCTGAATGGTACTGTAAAAAAAAGAGTATTCTAAGTTGTATCAAACATGAAAAGTTGAATGAATAACATGTGATCTAAATCTTTGAATCTTTAGCCTATCCATCCTGGTGAAATAGAAACCTCAAATGTGAAGGTTTCAATTAAAATACAGCTTGGTAGCTCTTGTGATTGCAACACTTTTCTCTGTCTGTTTTCCAAAAAAAAAAAGATTTGTTGTCTGGGGTCACAGTAGGTTTCACATGTTGTTGATGTTAATTTCACACCAGCTTTGGAGACTTAGGGAGAAGGTGAACACCATAAATGGTACCAATAAGTATTAGAGTAATCTGAATTATACAGATTATAATATCATCTGTCTTTTTTATTTTCTCTGTTGGGCACAGCCCTAAAGCTTCTTGTTTCCTTGCCAATAGATTGGCTGTGGAACATTGCTCTTTTATTTTTGTGATTTGTTTGAGAAGGATTAGTTTAAATGAATAATTATTTTTGTTATGAAAATACTATAACATGGTGCTGTGCTTTAATTCAAAATCCGAGGTGCGACATGTCACCATGAAACCAGCTCTAACCACGTTTTCCCAGCCAGTTTTTGACCGACGACACAGCAGAACGGTGTTGCAGCCTCCTGACTGCAGATTTATGTGGGAACACGATGTGGTGAAGTTGGATTTTAAAGGGACATTTCCGCTTGAAAAATGACTTTCTTCTCATGCCCTAAGTGACTCTACTCCATTACACTTTCCTCACGTCCTCACTCTGACCAACTGAAAATGTAAGAGTTGTCATGGCAACCTTTCAGCAACATGTATGTGTGTCTCAGAGAGAGACAGCAAGCGTTAGTGAAAAGTGTCCATACTGTGAGTGCGTCCATGTGTGATCTGGTAGCCATCGGAGGTGATTTTCCCTCAGCAACGCAATCACTGACCTCATTTCACACTCATGGATTTTTCCAAAAGTAAACGTGCGATGGCCAGAGGAGGGAGGATGAAACGGGGGAAGAGTTTGTGGCTGAGGAGAATTAATAATGAGTGTGACGTATGAAAGACGTCTCGGTCCATCACCTTCATTTCCTGTCTGAGAGGGAACCTTGTTCCCTTTATCTGTTCTTATATCCTCCTGTTGACCGACCTCATCGTGTTTGTGTTTGCAACACGTGTGTTGATTCACCATTGAAGCATCACAAGATTTGACTGGTGCTGTCGAGAAGTCATGAGTCATCGTACTGAACACAGAGATTTTCACATGATTGGTTGTATTTTTGTCATAAATGATGATTTCTGCATATGTTTTCCTGTCATATTGGGTCAGTGTCGTCTCTATTCACAGGTTTCCTTTTTTATTCTAGACTGAGATCAGAGAGAGCACTGGTGGCTTAGTGGTTAATTTTAAGGACGTGGATTTGGGTCCAGAAGGTTTCAGGTTCAAGTCCACCAGCTGCCAAGTCACCACTGAGGTGCTCTGATCATGTCACCGTCCCCACTCTCTGCTCCCCCACTGTTCACTTTGGTGATGGGTTAAAGCAGAGGTCACATCTGGTTGAGTGCAGTGGTGAGCTGTGAACACTGACAAGGAGTTGACTTTCATTACCTTCTTGTTTGGTCTTGTTCTAAAACTCTTCTTTAGCCTTTAACATCACAAAAACACAAAGTAAATAACAACAAAATCCAAATTATCATGCACCAACAGAGAAAGCCCACGTACCACTTGTAGTACCACTGCCAGAGTTTGAGAACCACCGTTGAAGACAAATCACATCAGTGGCGTTTGTACTGAGACATCAAGGAAGGCTCAGCAACTTTTATCATTTAAAAAAATCACTTGTCAAATGTAAACTGTTGTAGTTTGTACATTTTGCTGAAATGTGATCAACTACAGTCTACAGAGACTGGGTTCAGAATCAGGTCTTCATCACAGATTGTCTCATGCTGTATTTTACTGCTTTGTTTCTGTTTGCACCTCAGCTTTTTAAAAACAATTTTAAATTTGGATTGGAAATCTATAAATGACACAAATGGGTCACTTCCATTGAGTCCAGGTGTTTATGAGGGTCAATGAGCTGTGGTTGTCGAAGCTGTTCCGGTTCATGATGACTGGTGGAACAGAACTGTTTTCTTTCAATTGACGTTATTTCTTGTTGTCTGTCTGTGGACTTTCTGGGCCTTTCAAAGAAAGTTACTGAAGAAGCTCCCAAGTTTTACCTTTATGATGTCAACGATTTTCTGATGTAAACTACTGCAAGCTCCTTGTTTTGTCTGGATTTGTTTTTAGTATTCAAGTGGCTGAGTGTGTTTTATTTCCTCTGAAAGTTGAAACAAGTCGTGTCAGTCTTTGATCCATGTAAAAAAAAGTGCCCCCTTCTGTCCACTGAAACGCTGGTCTACAGGTGTCTGTTAACTTCAGTGGATTCACAGCTCCTCTGATCGTCTCCTCATCTAAACCTGAATCTGTCAACATTTCACATCTGTCCTTTTCATTAGATTTCTGTCTGCTGTGATTTCATAGTGGTCTTTAACCACGTGCATCTCTAATGTCTGCAGTTTGTTGTTGTTGGCTTGACCTTTGGCTTGACCTTTGTAGTATTTGTAGCTAGTTTTACTTGCTAACTAGCCACTTTTCTTTGTTTTGGCTAACTGTCTGTGCTGCATGGCTACATCTTAGGTCTTACAGCTAATATGTTTGTTGTTTTTCCCAGACTTTAAACCAAATTCAATTTAATTAAGCTGGTTGTCATCACTAGTTTGATAATATACAAAATTCCTGTTTTTTCTTTTGGATTTGTTCTGGGTTTTTTTTTTTTTAATCTTAACATCCAAATCAGATATTTTTCCATCCTTCAAGGATCCAGACATCCTTGAGTCTCTTAAGGCTCCCTGCTACGACATCCTTGAGTCTCTTAAGGCTCCCTTTCTGTTGTGTTAATGTCTTGATTTGATCTTTCCTTATTTTAACATGATCTTAGACTTTTTGGACAATCATTTAAAAATAATTTTCCTACATTTTATTTACAGGACAGATGACGAGCACCGACTGACGAGGAGAACACAACTAGCTACACAGATATTTAAGTGCACTTAAGGTTCATATGGGGGCTGCAGCCTTTAATCACCCCTGAGGAAGCGGTTCACAGTTTAATGGCATCACGGTAGTGTTGACATGGCAGAAGTCGGCCTGTGAAATCTCTGAAGACACCAGCAGCATGTTGGCCTGACTCTTATTGCTTCAAATTGAGTCCAGGAAGTTGTCATTACTCTGTGGGAAGGCAACAGTGGTCATCACATTAATGAAATCCCAGGAACATTGGGAGCTGATGCAAGCCCTTCCAAAAAAAAGGAGAGACTAACCCTGGTATTTCTCTGAGTTTCATCAAAGTTTTTTCAAACTCAAAGACGGCGGAGGCAGTTAAATTACACACTTGGAGAGATGGCTCTCACTCCTGTTGTTGGAACAGAGAAAGTCATTTCACAACACAAATCAACGGTGGTATAGAGCCCGAGGACTCAAATCCACTTTTGTTTTCACTTCGCTCAAATTTCTTCGTGCCAGAGTCTGAAAAGAGTCCCAGTAAATGGGAGATTTATGCAGTAAACACCAACGACGCACGCCAGAGCTCTATCAGAAATTACACATAAACGGAGAATTGCTTTTCTAAATGGATTTGTGTAGTTACGGTATATTTCTGTGATATGATTATCAGCTTAAGTATGTGGAAGGGCTCACTGGTGATGGATGTAGTGGCGGCTGCTCTGTGCCTGAGAAAAGATAGTGTTATTACAACGCAGTAATTCTCCCCTCTACCAGTTCAATCAGTGAAATAAATAATGAAGAAGAACCGTACTGGGGTCTACATATTATAATCAAAGTGATTACAGTAATACTCTCAACTAAATCTTGGCCTCGCTCTCAGGACTCTCATCCATTGTTTCCATTAAATGGTGATCATTGCAGCTTAAATGTTTATAGAAATAACATTTGAATGTCGACCACACACTGGATGAATGGCGCTCTTGCCTTACACCAGTCTTTCTGTATGGACTTTCCATTTGACTGATGCCTTAAGGACAGTTACTTGGTGTGATGCAAGTTTTCTGTCAAGACTGTATCTTGGCCACAAAAGGTCTGAGAAAACAGTGGTGGCGTGAGAAGCAGCTCCAGTCAGAAATGGCTGAACCCACCTGGGTCTCACAGCTCTCAGGCTGTCTCTGATCAAACCTGTATTCCAGGACCAACTTAGGTCTTGTTGAAGACTTCAACGTGGGCCTCACCTCAGTCCCAGTTAAACCAACAACATCTCACATCGTAGATTGGGAAGCATGAACACATATATCCCCAGGACTGTACCTGACACCCCAGCATTTAGTCAGGGGTGAGTCCTGCAGGTTCTCAGTCTCACCACTAGATGTCAACACATCTTCAATATTAGATGTCTAATTTAGAATCTTTTTACCACCAAGGAATCTAAATCATCCACGGTGAGCTCGCACACTTGTTGAAGTACACGGGTCCACACACACACAGAGTTCACACTCTTGGTCTGCCTCCAGCGCCACCACCCTGTCATTTCTCCACACAGTCCACAGGTGTTAAGGGAGGGAGTGAGGGAGTGGTTGTTGGCATACCCAAACGTGGCCTGACGTCAGGATGTCCACCTCCCCCTGGCGGTGAGCCCACTGACAGAGCGGGCCATCTGGGCCACAGAGAGCCAGCGACAGGCCCATCCATTGCTCTGGCCTGTCCTGTCCTCTGGGCTCAGAGCCAGAGAGACAGACTGGTAGAACTGGCTGGGACCAATCTGGTGCATGTTTTGATGATGCTGGTGCTCAGTGAGATCAGAAAGGCCTGTGATTCAGATTATTCCATGCAGTGGGTTGGTGTTCAGACATGTAGTCTGACTGCTCACAGATGTAGTCCAACTGTTGCAACATTATGACAAATAAGTCCTTCATGGACATCAATATGTATCAGTTTGCTCACTCCCCACAGTGTTATTAAATATGATAGTGGTTGTTGTATTTAGTTGTGATTTAACTGTCATTTGTCTGTTTTCTGCTGAGGCCCCAGTGGATTTGAAGACTTCTCAGACCTGTCTCTGAAGGTATTTCTCCACATCCTCCGTCAGAGAATCTCTGGAGCTCCTCCTGATTTGAACGTCTTCTGTCAAGGATTTTGGTCTTGTAGAAAAAAGTCCGTGTTGCATTGAGGGAGCAACAACGTTGACGAACAACAGTTTTTTGAACCCCAGTCTTTTGTTTTCCTTACTCACGTAATGTATGGTGTTCGATGGTTAAAGGTCATTTGTTCCTATGCTGACCTCACAACATCCAGAGCCACGTTGTTAGACAGTCAGTTTGGACAAACACGTCATCAAACCTACGACCCTCTGATAAAAACCCCAATCCTCTTACCACTAGGCCACAGGCTCATCACCAACCCCGTCCTCACTGCCTACAGCTCTGGTTTTTTTATATCGTGTGTGTGGGTTTTTTTGTGCAGAACAAACAACACTGTAGATAAATGTTCTGTTAAGGTGAAGTTTTTCTCCCCCCTTCGACGTCACATATGGAACAGAAGGCTCTCGGTGACATTTACCCACAACACCGTTCTTCACACCACCACCAACCCGGACTCCCACTCTCTCAAAGTGAGGCCGGTGGATTGTTGGAGCAGTTTATTTGGACGGAGAACACAAACCTCCCTGACAACCAGCCACCTGCCGACTGGAAAAGGCCTGAGTGCAGTGATTTAACAGCACACAGGAAGTGAGGCACGCAGCCACGCAGAGCGAGACAGGAGTGCTTCATCAGGACAACAAGCAGCACCTGTGTCCTTCAGACGACACGCAGCGTCTCTGTACTTGTGGAATTTCTGTCTCAGAGTGAAGGCCCCGTCGCTCTGGGACAGAAATGGATCTGTGTTTAAACTGCTGGGAGAACTGACAAACATCACTTGAACTGATGTATATATTGACTATGAAGCTGATTATTTTCTGAAATACAACAAGAAACAACTTTAAGCAGAATGTATTGTCCATTTGATGCAGAACTTTGTTTCATGTGATTTCTGTTCTCTCAGTTTCGGGGTAGGTTTCCTTTCTTTGCCAAAAGAACAAAGAGCTGGAGAAGCCAAGGTTACTGATGTCATCGGATACATGAACATGTGATGTTATACAACACAAATGAGCAGATTCATAAAACAACATGTTTCATTGTAGGTCTTGGTCAGCGGTCCCTGAGATTGAGGTGTAACATTAGCCTGATACTGATGTCGTCATTTATATGATCAGGTTCATCACCTGCAGACCTGCTGCTCAGATCAGCTACCTCTGTGTCCATGATGTCCACAACTGGTGGTACACACCATCACTACAATACTGCAGCAGTGTATGTCCTGCAGAGAAGAGGAGGAAGGTCAGCAGAAGGACAGGGTACATGTGTAAGAATGAGTGTGAAGAAGGTGGAAAGGTGTAGATGGAAGTAGGTTGGGGGGGGGGGGAGGGAGGACAGGGGTGAAGGTAGATCACTTCATGGTCCTTGGATTTATCATGCCAAGTAATGGACAGTGGAACAAAAAGGTGAAGAAAGTGG